AGCTGCAGATTTAACACACACAGTCGTATTGATCTTTTCAACGGCAGTAAAGTGCATTTGGCTAAATCTCAGACGGTTCCTCTCCAGAACCCTGTCTGGTGCTGCTGCTGGTGCCGACCCGAACATTTCAGCACAAATCACAGAGCGAGCTCAGTGTCGTTCCAGTTTCTTCTCATCTTTCAGTCGGTCTCTCGGTTCAGCTTCTCCTCGTCGTCTCACTCTCCTGCTGGCTTATTTTCTCGCCGTGGCGTTCTCATTTCGCCGGCCTCCGTCTCTCTCCGCTGTTTTCCCATGAGCTGCGATTAGCCTGCACACCCTCTCTATCTTTAGGCACTCCGTTGGGATTTCAATTAATTTATGAAAAAAAAAAAGTGCTATATCATCACAATATGCTATACCTGTTTAATTAACTTCCCCCTTAATTAGGAATGACTTGAACTTCGGCAGGAGACATAGTTATGCGGAGCCGGACCTCCTGAGGTCTTTCAGGCGGGCTCGAACTCGATGTGTTTAAATATCAGGTTACGCCTCAGACCCACCAGAGCCGGCGCGACCTTACGCTGTACATTATATGAACGGTTATCTACAGGCCATGCAGCTGGTGAACTTTTACATGATTCGTCTTTCTGCTGCTTCAACACGTCCGTCGATCCATTGCCGTACCTTCACTCTCTTTGCCTCTCGCTCTGTTTTTTCTCTCCACCGTCATTTCGTTGTGTCGCCAACATTTCTATCTGATTACAAAAAAATCAACTCCAGAGATCTGCTCTTTATCTGGGCCACAGGTTCGTTAGTGGGAATGGATTAAACTCTTTGCTGAGACAAAGCGGTTCGCTGTTGTGGCTCTTCAAAAGAACTCGAGTGTTTTTACTTCCATAGATGTGGGTTAGTGTATCTATAACTGCTGCACTGTGTTTGGAGCACAATGCCTCCCTGTGAAGTGTGAGGAGTGACCTTCTGCTTAATGAGTTTACTGTCTTTGATCCCTGTATTCTCATTAATGTAACATATTCTGACAATATATCCCCATATATATGAATTCTTTGTTGTATTTGTTTGTGTCTCTTCTTCTTTGTCTCCCTCCCCCACCCCTCTCTCCTCTCTCCTCTCTATCTAAGTGCCAGCAATATCGTGAGCAGGCTTCAGTGCTGGAGAACCAGCCAACGGGGACTTTTGTGTTGCAAGTGCATGCTGTGGATGCAGATGAGGGAGCAAATGGAAAAGTCAAATATGGCTTAATGCACAGAGACAGCGCCATGCCTGCCTTCAGAATCCATCCAGACACAGGTAGAGCAGTCACGGATTGTCTGGGGTAAAATAGGTCTCAATTAGACGTGGAGCACAGGATATCCTGCAGATAGGAAGCATTTTAATGGTAATTGACGTCTCTAATAATCATTTGAGCTGAAGTGTGATCTCAGAGGACGGGATGAATACGGAGCAGAGATTTAAAAAAATGTTCACGTTATTAAAAAAAAAATCTTCCCTCAAGAATGGAAGCCAGACGCCAACAGCGGCGTATTTATTAGCATTTGATTTGATCTGGACCGGCTCGGTGTCGCTCTTCAGTGTATAGAAGTTATCCTCCATAATGAAGGGCGAGCGGAGCCGGTTCTGACCTCCTGGGGCCCAAAGCAGAACTCTGTCATGGGGCCCACTACCGGATCAGCTGCATCGGCCCGTTCAGACCCACTGATGCCTTTTTACACGTTTTCAGATATAAAACACTATTTCTAGTGCGGCGGCTGAATAATTGATGGGTGTTATTTGCAGAGATGTGAATCCGTATCACCCAGAATGCCGAGCTGATGAACATCCAGAGTCCAGCCGTTATTAACCGACTGCTTGGCTGAGCTCCTCAGTCGGAACTAAACCCTGACTGAGAGACGAGATCATCGTTATCTCATTTCAGAATTAGGTATGACCTCCTGTTGTGCGGTCCGGACCGGTCCCAGGTCGCTGCAGCTGAAGAAGCACCACTCGGTGTTTCCTGCACATCTGACCGCATGTTAACACGCAAACACGGCTACGTTTCCAAGCAGCCGTTTATAAACGCCGCTGCCCGTCGGCGTTCTTCAGACCTAATGAATTGTTGTGTTTCGTTCCCGCTTACGTCAGGCACTCAGTCACGATACAGCCTTGGAAGTGGCTGCAGGCGAAGAACAGAACGAGATGCGCTGCCGAGCCGGGTTAGCGAGACGGGCGGACTGGAGGGACGGCACTGCAAGCCGGCACATCAGCTTAATGCTGCTGGTGTTTGCTGACTGGGAGAGGAACCAAGTTTACCTGGTTGTTCCTCCCGTAATTCACTCGTGGGCTTTTTTTTTCTTCTCACGACAATAAAGACGGAGGTTCCCCTTCATCCTCTCATCCAGCTGTAAACGCTGATCCCCGCTCTGACACAATCGGGCCCTTGCATAACTTGTAAGAGCCCAACACAACTAGTGAGCATATAGAGGCGCTGGGCTCGGAGGCGAATAAAGAAGCTGTTCTGAAGTCCCAACACGTAGTTATCCTGCCACTCATTTTCTTTCAGGCTTGTGTTCTATCTTCTTCATCTCAAGATTTAATAACAAAGTCACTGTACTTGAAAGGAATGCTAAACTTAGTCGGAATAAATTTATAATTGTTTACTTGTTTTCTTGATTTATGAATTGATGGATGGATGGATTCAGATGGATGAGTTGGAGGAGCTGCTGAATGGATGTAGAAATATAAATATATATGTGCATGCATTGTAGTGAGGATGTTTGCCGGGCGGGTGGTGAACGGGGCTGATCATCGTTTTGTATTTGCAGGAGTGATCGTGACCGCCCGGCAGTTCGACAGGGAGCGGCAGAGGGAGTACTCGATTACAGTAACGGCCACTGATTGGGCAGAAGAGCCGCTCATCGGCATCTGTCAGCTCACCGTCCAGATACTGGACCAGAATGATAACAGCCCCAAGTTTGAGAATCTGCGCTACGAGTGTAAGTGTTGGATAAATATTATATAGGCTGGCATCCAAATCAAACATTAATAGCATCGCTGAAGAATTGGCAAAACCAAGAGCCTCAAAAACGCAGCAGCAGAGCTGCTCGCAGACGGTTATACGCACTTCATTTACTTTAATGCAGCACCGTGCTGTAAATATGCATGTAGATGGAGTTTTATTTAGAGAAAAGGGAAATAACATTAATCCGGCTGCTTAATGTGTCTGTGTGTAAAGAAAGAGCTGCTGCACATTAAACCTCTGTGATGCCGGATCTGAACCATCCTTTGCCCTCAGCGAGCCCGTCTCCGTCTCTGACTGCTCATTTCTATCCTCTGCAGACTTCCTGAGAGAGGACACTTTGGTCGGCACCAGCTTTTTACGCGTGGCAGCGCACGACGACGACTTCGGCACTAATGCAGCTATCGCTTACTCCATGTCCCTGGAGCAGCCCGAGTACCTGCGGGTCAACCCCGTCACCGGATGGGTCTACGTCAACCAGCCCATATCGCAGGTTTGTCGGCAGTTATTCGCAGGATGTCTGTCAGACGGCGCACACATGCACCAGAGTGGTATTACATGACTTCCTGTGTGAACAACGTGAGCGAGCCACCTCAAAGGGCCTTTCTGCAGCCAATCTGGGCCACGTTCGCTCCCCCAGACGCCGCATGTGGACAGAGCACAGAGAAAGAGATGCAGAGAGACTAATTCAGGCTAAACAAATTATTTAAAATAAGGTTGAGCAGCTTGAGAGTTGTGAGGTCATGCTTTAAACGAGCACAGAAATCCTGTAAGCTGAGGTGGTGGTTGGCGACGGGGCTGTTGGGATGGACGGCACGTCGTCTGAAGCAGCTAATTATCACACACAGCAACTCTTTGTCTGCCGTAAATACTCCGGCTTTGATATATGGGACTGAGACGTTTTCTTCATCATCATCTATCACATGAGGCTTTGATAAGCAGACTGACAGGAACATGAGAGGAGGCTGGTGTTCTGAGGATATCACCTGAAACGCGTCGCAGGATTGTTCATGCAAAGAGCAAAGTCGAGTTCAAGACGAAACCGTTTCTCCAAAACTAAAACGCTTTGTCGGAAATGTTGGAAAATTGCTAAAAAAAAAAAGTAAAAATCATTACTCTTCTATTTAAAATGTGAATAATCGTAGTTCTATAAATAATTATGTTCAATATGGAAACAGGCAGGAAGTGTTGACGAGCCGCCGCCTGCGATGGGCTTTAAGTGATTTACTGTGTCGCCGTCCGTCGCCCTCACGCAGCCCGTTTTGTTTACATTTTTCATAGGACTGTAAACTCATCACCGCTCGTCTTCCCCTTTTTCCGCCTCTCATTTATTCAAACCGAAGTTGTTCCCCGGCTGGAAACCTGCTGCAGCACTACGGGCCGGTTTATTATTTAGCACGCTCTCCAGCACACGGATGTTTAAAGTCTCTGGCAATTTTGCTGCTGACTTCATGCAAAATGCAACGTGTTAGGGCCAAAACCTCGCCGAACAAAGCTGCTGCATATTTCAGAGCGGTTTCAGAAGCTGTTTGAATCATCCCGCAATCTTTGTGCCTTAACTAAGATTATAAAAGCACTTCATTAAATGTTAAACGTCTCAGCTGGTCGGAGACACTTTCTATTTAGATTTTCTCATTACAGTTTCTGATTACAGTGAACGAGTATCAAGGACAGATTTTCACACCACACTTCACAGTGACGTGTGCAGCACAGCTCCCAGATGACTTGCAGGATTTCAGTGGAATATGAAGGAGATAGGTCATAAACAGACATCCGTACGCCCAGAGACACGGCACGTAGAGCCGGACCAGCGACCAGAGATGGAAAAGGTGGCGGTGACTCTATCCAGAATATTTCATGGACATGTTCTGGTTCTGGTCTGACACTATTACAGAAAACACAATTTGAAGCCTGGGCTGGATGTTGCCACAAAGTCAGCCAGACCTTCATTTACTGTTAAAAGAAAAGCAGCAGCTGCTGGCTCAACGCTGGACATCACAGATTACATCTTTGTTCTCTGGTTTCAAGCTTTGCAGAGGAGTTGTGCTCATAAAATACTAATTGGATTGTCCAAGCAATGGAAAATGAAATTTTGAAGTTCAGCGAGATTCCTTTTTACTGCAGCACAATAATAGAGTCGCGAGGCCACGATCTGCATTGATAGAAGTCTGCAGCTGACGGAGGGAAACCTTACAACTCAACAATTGAATTCATATTTGAGCAATTTTTTCACTCAAAGTGGAACAAAATGCAGGTTGGTGGTTAGAATGAAGTGGAATTAGAGTGCGTGGGCTAAAGAGAGGTTCTGTAAAGGTCTGTTTCTACACTTTGTGTGAGCGCGATGTTGATGTGACACATTTTCTAATTAAGAACTCAAACAGTCTGATAATCTATTAAAGAAACGTTCAGCGCTCCCTGCAGTGTCCACTTTGATTCAGTCGCTGTGTATTTGCCATTTTATTTCCTTAAAATTCAATTAAAGCCAAACCAGAAGTCGAGGAGGTTTCGTGCAATCTGAGTTATTCTTCATAATTTCTTCCTTCAAACTGACGCTTTTGTTGTTTTTCGCCTAATTAAATTTCCTTAATGAAGTCCAGACAGCAGATCTCGGTCAAGCTGATCACAGGCTGATGGCTGCCTGGTCTGCTGAGCGTCTTGGTCTTCAACTAAATGCTCTTTCCAGCTCCAAACATGGAGTCGCTGCTGCTATCTGCCATCACTGGCCGGTTTCCACCGAGCCACAGCCATGGTGCCAGCTGAAGAACACGACCATATGCTGCTCAGATTAACATACATCAGGATGATGCATGGATTCACCAGTTAATTTTATGATTCTGTCTTTAACGCAACACATTTAAACATGCTGTGTATTCGACCCTCCCAGTGGGTCGACCTTCATCTGAACCACTACTGAGGCTTTGTGTCATCAAACTTCTCACAGCGGTGAAAACACCTCTGGTAGTTTTCTATGGAGGAGTGAGGCGCCAGATTACAAAATAAATCAATAAAAGAAGGAGCTGCAGGTGTCTCGGTGGTTAGCACCGTGGCCTCACAGCTAGAAGGTCGCTGGTTGGCGTCCCGGTGAGGACACCCGGGATCTTCCTGCGTGGAGTCTCCATGTTCTCCCCGTGCAGCGTGGGTTCTCTCCGGGTTCTCCGGCTTCCTCCCACAGTCCAGAAACATGCTGAGGTTAATTGGTGATTGTAAATTGTCCGTAGGTGTGAATGTGAGTGTGCTTGGTTGTCTGTCTCTAAGTGTAGCCCTGTGATAGACTGGTTACCTGTCCAGGTGAACCTGCCTTCACCCTGAGTCAGCTGGGATAGACTCCGCCCCCCATGACCCTGGTGAGGATTTAGGTGTAGAGATGATGGATGGATGGATCAATAAAAGAATAATTAAATAAAAGCGGAAATAAAAAGAAGAACAAATAAAATAAAAAATAATAATTGGCAACATAAATAATTAATCAAAATGAATCCATAAAAGAAAAGGCTGATAAAAGTAGAACTAGAAAGATAAATAATAATTTATTTGTTAATGTTTATTTTTAAAATGTATTTATTATTTTTATTTTGCTATTTTTTTAATTATTTTTTCTTTTTTATTGTTTATTTATTTTTATTTTTTTTAAATTATTTTTTTCAGTTTTATTTTTATTTTTTAATTTATTTTTATGACAGTCCTACTGCGCATATTTCCTTTGCTTTTAAAGCGACACTATAAGAAATACATTAAAAAATTAAAATATAATTAAAAAGAATAAATAAATTAATTAATGAAAATGAATAAATTAAAACAAATAAATAAACTCCATAGTTTTCTACAGAGCCTTTTACAAAAAACATGGCAAGAAAATGTAGGCACACACAAAAAAAATCAAAGAGTAAGCGAGCAACAAGTCTGACCAACTTCCAGAACTTTGTGATGGGAAAGCCGGTACCGTTGGTGGTGGAGCGGGTTGTCCACTGGGCTGGGTTTGATCCCCAGCCCTTGGGCAAGACACCGAACCCCACGTTGCTCCTGATGGCACTTTGCTTTGGCATCGGGGTGTGAATGTAAGAAGCTGGAGCCATCAAATGTCAGACATTTAAAATAATCCCCATAAAGTGACCACATCATGAACCAGTTCATCATCTCAGCTTGTGATCACCTCAGTAACCAAATGTCACCCTCGTCTCCAGAGGACCTACATCACACGGGACATCATAGCGACTGACGGGGGAAACCGAAGCACGTCCGTGGAGCTGGCGGTCACCATCACCAACGTGAAGAACCAGCCTCCGCAGTGGGAGAAGGAGAGCTACAGCGTGGTCATCCCCGAGAACACGGCCAGAGACACGCCCATCGTGGTACGTGTAACTGCTTACAGCGCTGCGTGTTAACGTATGGATGCTCTGGCTCGCTGTGCTGCTGCACAATCTGAACACTATCCAGACTCTCTTTGTGCTGCTGATACACCTGAGAGTTCGTCAGCCTGCTGAATGATCTGTAAACGTGTTGTGGTTCGATGCTGAGGGAGAAAGCTGACATTGAATCACATTTGCTAAGCAAGTTTCATGACTCAAGGCTCTTTACATCCAATGAATGCCTCCTTTGATGCGAGAAAATATATAGCTGTCAATCCGGGAGCACACAAATCCCCTTTTTGCAAGGTCTTCACAAGGGGATTCACTTTTAGATAAGAGGTTATTTCAGGGCTCGGATAGCAGGTCCGATTCTTAGCCCTCCATGTATCTTACTCAGATAATCAGCCGCTGCTGTATGTAATCTAAATTTGATATAACCGGCGCCGTTTTCAGGCTACAAACCCCAAATGCAGTCTGACCTAGTTTTTATGCAGCGTGTCACATGAGGATGGATTGTACCTGACCTACCTCACAGAGAGGAACAGTTTGGCCTTTTGGAATAAAATAATTCCTTCTCCTGCCTGGGATGAGGAGATTGATACCACTCTCATGTCTGGCTGTTAATTATGGAGCTGTAGCCTGCAGCCGGTTAGCTTAGCTCAGCAAAACCAGTGAAAACAGCTAACCTGGCTCCGTCCAAACTTAAAAAAACGCTGCCTGCCAGCAGTTCTATAGCGCACTAATTAAAACGTTGTACCTCGTTTGTTTTGCCAGACTAACTGCGTCCCTCTGTTACCGGCCATTATGCTAAGCTAGGCTAATCGCCTCCCAGCTCTAGCTTACCCAGAGTGGTTCCATCTAACTCTAAGAAAAGCGAACAAGCACATTTCCAAAAATGTAAAACTTTTCCTTTAAACACATAAAAACCAACAATCTTCCTGTTGGTGGAGGTCAGAGCAGCTGAGCGGGAAGCTATCGCCGAGGTTAGCATCAGCGTTCTTATCTCCTCTGTAACGTAAACGTGACCTGACCTCCAGGCTTCTCCAGCCAAGAACAAATCCAAACCTGACGTTCTCGTCCCATTCAGACGATCAAGGCGACCTCTCAGCTGGGCGACCCGAGGGTGACCTACAACCTGGAGGACGGGATGGTCCCTGAAACCAACATGCCGGTCCGGTTCTACCTGTCGCCCAACCGGGAGGACGGCTCTGCTTCCATTCTGGTGTCCGAGCCGCTGGACTACGAGACCACCCCGTTCTTCTCGCTCCGCGTTCGGGCGCAGAACGTGGCCGCGGTGCCTCTCGCAGCTTTCACCAGAGTTTACGTGAACATCACAGGTATCATTAGTGCTCATCTCGCTTTGCTCTTTGATAAGAAATAGAAACTAATACAGTTTATCAGATAGCCGGCGTGATTCAGATTCTGCACGTTCAGCTTTAATTATTACATTTCTAAGCAGCACATAAGTACGAGTCATGAGATCAACTGCAAAATGTCACTATTAGTCAGCTGAAAGGTAATTAAACACACGCCAACATTAATGTTCTAGCTGCTGTAAAGTGAGTATAACTGTTGGTATCTATTTATTTAATTACCGGATCTATTTGTTGGAGGCTTTCTGTAGACTTGGCAGTGTATTTTAAACACAGAGCTAATTGATTGGTGTCGGGCTTGACGACCAGCTGGCCAGAGACGCCAGTCTGCTGCTTACCTGTCAGCTCCTGTGTGTAATGTTGAGTTCAGGTGAGAAAGTCAGCAGCTCCAGTAAACAGTGCTGTGCTCATGTTTTCTGTTTTTTTATTCAAGCTCCTAAATCTTTAATGCGAGCGGTTCTAGAAGCTGCAGCTTCGGATGCTGGGGAATTTAAAACTCTCTTCTCTCCTAGACGTCAACGACAACGTGCCATTTTTCACGTCCTCCATCTACGAGGCCTCGGTGACAGAAGGAGCCCAGATAGGGACCTCAGTTCTCCAAGTGTCTGCACATGACAAAGACCTGGGTCTGAACGGAGAGGTTGGTTGTGAATTATGTGCGTTTGTGTTGTGGCGCGACAAGAAGTAAAGACATTTAGCAGAAGTCTGTTCAGCCGTATCTACAGACTGATGTTTCCTTGTTAAACCACCTATAGCGCACTACGAGGAGCACTACGTAGCGTCCCACCACAGGCCCTCCGGGGCCACAGCTAATGCTCCACCGTTGTCAGAGTCCGGCTGAGGTGGTGCTGGGAGCTGCCTGATGGTGACGACAGTGTTGGGACACAGCATATCGATTTGGCTTTGCCTCTAATGAGCAGACAGACTGGGGGACTGTGATAGAGACCTCTTGACATTTTCAGCCACAGAGCCATTCATTTCTGTCTTTTCTGTAGGTTACTGCAGCAGCTTAATTTTTTTAATTCCCTGCGCTCTACAGATCACTTACTCTTTGCTGAGCGACAGCAGCGGCGACCACCATCTGTTTCGTATAGACCCCGAACTTGGGATTATCTACACAGAAGCTGTGTTTGACCGCGAAGCACGAAGCTCCTACTTGCTGGAAGTCCAGTCAGCAGATGGCCAAGAGTCAGCACGACCCGGGAAGAACAAACAGCCCAACACAGGTTAGGCATCATGAGGATGGATGGATGGAGAAGAGTTTGTCATTATCCTTTAACTCCCTCTGAATTTATGTTTTGCTGCACTTCATCATCATCATCATCCTCCTGCTATGGGGGAAATGTTCTGGCTTATTTGTTTTTTTCATTCATAGTCATGTTGGGTGAAGCTAAGCCAAAGATGCAGCACCAGCTACCCCAAAACAGAAATGGGGGAAACTGTTTTGGTTCCACATTTCCTTCATTAAAACGGTTAATTCAATAGGCAGCGCGGTCCGGTTGCACATTTAAATCCACAGCAAAAGCCTGAAGCGCTCACAGTGCCGAGTTTCTGCTGAGGGGTCGTCGTTGTTTCCTCAATCAAAGGAGATTTTGCAAAATGTACGTAACAGAAAAGGAGGAGAAAGTTTAGAAAAAGGCTGAAACCCGCATTCTGGTGAGTCAGACCGAATGTGAAGGAACTGGTCCGTCACCAGCTAAATGTCTGCAAACCAGCAGCTCGTCTCTAAGTGATCATTTAACATTTAGGGAAATGTGCTGATTTGTATTCTTGTCAAGACATACAGAAGGAGGCTGTTAAGTACATATAGAACGACCAGCAACAAGGCAGGAAGCGCTAACCACCAGCTAGCTGGCTGCTAGCAGCGCTTCAAAGTTCACTAATGAGAGCTTTGGTTTGTTTCTCTGCAGCCAGAAGTCCCCATAAAACCTGAACACATCATTTCTACGCTCTGGCTTCTGATGAGGACTAACGAGCTGTAATGCGCTGGAGTGCTGCTAGCTTGATTTCCTTTACCTTTGGACTGATTCAATCAGCTTTGTCTTTATTTTCTGCTGCTGTGCTAAGCTAACACACCGCTGGCTGTCCCTTTATATTCAACATCAGCACACAACGGTTTCATTCTTCTTATCTGACATCAGGCAAGAAGGTAAATACCAGAGGTGATCAAAAAGCTGTGAACCTGTGCTTCCTGTAACCGTCATTCGTCACGATGTCACATGACAACACGCTAGCATTTCTTAGACATGTTTTTGTGGTCACTGGTGAATCTGCTGCTACTCCGTGGAGCTCAGACTGAAGAGAACATCAGATTGTGTGTCAGCCAGCAGCCAGGTTGAGCTCACCTTCATGTGGAGGATCATCATGGCCGTCGTGGTGATGAGAGGCGGGTCTGCAGCGAACGCCCAGAGAACAAGCAGCAGGTCTCACCGTGGACAGAGTTCTGTAACACAAAGCACCATCAGTGGGCTGGTGAGGTGAACTCAAGCCAGAGTTTTAACTCTTCTAACCTGGCTCGATCACCATGGTAACTGATGCTGCACCGGTAGCCTGCTCAGGAGACGGTTATGTTCAGAGTTCAGGATTTAATTTAGCTGGAGGAAGCGTCTCCTTGTTTCTGTTCCGGACCGTTCTCTACAGATTCTCAGCCGATGGAAAACGTTGTATCTGCAAACCCGTACGTTACCAGAACCCCTGAATGAAGCCGTGAAGCTACAGCATCACACACTGCACGCGTCGCCATGGGAACCTGCATGCATTCAAACAGTGATGCAGAAAACGCTTAAACACGTTTCTTTGTGTTCTGATGAGCCACCAAGTCCGTTTACTGTCACGGTGCTGCAGCTAACAGAACCCACGTTAGAGGACTGGCGGGTCTATTGCTGCTTATTACAGAAAATATTCAATCAGCAGCATCGATTTCACCTCAATCTGGCCCAAAACCACAGCGATAGGCTTCATTATGGGACCGTGTCAGACCTAAGTGTTCTTCCTCAAAGTCATGTTTAAACGCATTAAGCTTAAAGTTGAACAGTTCCGAGGTGCAGACGACTCAATGAGAGGCTGCACAAACACTGCACCCAGAACACACTCTGAGCTACACAGGCTCCTACAAGCATCTCTTCAGCAGCACCTGAGCTCTTTAATAACGTTTTAAAGTCTTAGTAGGTCTCCATCAGAGCAACCTGTGGACTGAACAACAGGAACGAGCATTTAGCCAAAGAGTCACGTGGCGCGTGAAACGCCCCCGTTAGTGTGCACGCGCACAGAGCCGGATGAAGAAAACCTGAGTTCACACAGAAGGTTAGCTCACCTGGTCTCCCATTGGTCCAGACTGGAGTTTGACATGAAGACATCCTGGCTGCGTCACACCTGCGCCACAGCGCATCCCTACGGAGCATGCGTGTTGGGTTCTTGGACTTGAATGCGGGTTTAGAGCAGGACTGGACCCCCAGGTACCGTCTGTAGGCAGCGCGCTGCTGACGTGTCTGAAGGAGAATATTCGGAGCAAACCACCTGAACGTGAGGTGCTCCGTGCGCCACAGCGCCCCCCTGCGCACACCTGTCGCTCTCCGCCTGCTTCACCGGATTCGGTGCCCTCTGACTTTTCCCTCTTCTCCAAACTGAATGCGAGCCGGAGGTTCGGCCGTCGGACCCAGTGTGAGAGGTTCGGGGCCCGCTGTAGATGGTGCTTGACATGTAAAGCACAACGTGAGTGGAGCGCAGGTCCAGCTGCTGATGGCGTCACTTCCTGACATACAGGTGCTGCTTGCACGTGTTGCATGCGCGCCCACAGACTACGTGCGCGCACCGTGCACGCGCCCCAGGTACAGTCTGGAAAGCCTTTGATCAAACCTGTTACCAGAATTTTAAACTTTTCCCTAAACAGAACTTTTAAGCCCAGCTTATGTCACATTTCTAATTATGCACATAATAAGTGAGCGAGCTCAGACTTGGTGTATCCAGTCATGTAGTCGTACATACCGATGCTTTCCAGTGCTTTAGGAGACTTGATGAGTGGTGGAGGTAACTTTGACGTGACCTCCGGCCCGATGCACTGATCCATTCATAAACAGCAGCGTTGTTCTGGAGGCTGCAGGCCGACGGGGAACCTGTAACTATGAGGAGTGCTTCCTCTGCGCCCTGTTTTAAACATTCTGCTCTGGCCGTACATTCGTTTACACCCTGGGATTGACTTTGAAAAGTGAATCTTAATTTGATTTATTCCACTGCCATGACCAGACAGCCCCACACTGCCGTGTAGGAACAGCTCACCACAGTTCTTCAGGTTTTTTTTGGGTTGCAAACAGTTTTTTTCTCTTCGTTTTTAATTTTCTCTCTTCAGTATTTAATGGATGTGTGGCTGTTGTTGTTTACCATGTTCTACGTTTGACATGTGGGCAGTCCTGGAATCTCAGCCGGAGTGTGGAGTGACGTAATGTGACGTTTGAATGCAGGACTGGGTCTCTTTGCTGCATTTGTGGAGGCGGTATTAGGGGTACAGGGTGATGTTTTTGAAGCGGCAAAAACCCTCTCTCCAGGGTTGCCAGGGCTGCTTAGCATTTGCAATGAGCCTTAGCTCTGTCTACGTATCTACCACATCCAGAAGGGCTCATCTCCACTGCAAACATTACCTGTCTCTCTGTCACCCCTGGGATACACCGAGAGGAGGAGGAGGAGGAGGAGGAGGAGGAAGGGGAAATGTGAAAACAAGCCAAGAAAATAAAGCCACATTCCAGCATCATCACCTCCTGCTGCAGCAGCTCCAAATTAACATGTCACCCGTGTGCTCTGTGAGCAGATAATTTACTCTTTCTAACTAAAGAAATAAACAGTGTAATGAGGAGGGCATAGATAAGACACAAACACTTGTCATCTTATAAATATTTAACCTTCCCAGTGGAGAGGTTCTTTATCTACTCTCTGCAAAAAGAACTAGTTGAAGAGGTTTATTTCCCGCCATTACTTTTACTCTTTCTGCTGAAACTGTTGCCCCGGTTAAAACAATCAACTCTTGACAAAACGAACACTTTATGTAATTTACAGCGGCGCTTTGTGAGCAGTGATTTGTCTAATTTCTCTGTCAGTGAGACACATTGTGCTGGGTTAAGTGCCTCTTCCCCACTAAACACTGACAACGAGTTGTGGAATCAATAAACAGATGTAGAGCAGCTCACGTTCGGCGTCGGCTGAGCTCAGCGTGTCACAGTTTGTCACCTGTGTCCCGTCAGCTAATCAGTCCCTTTTCTACGCTCTGTAATGAGTTGTCGGTTTGTGTGCGTTTTCCTCCCCGTGTTCTGTTCTGTGTTTTTCACACCATGTTTTCCGGTTATGCTGTGTGTAGTGTTTCTGTACCTGTCGTTTGCGCCCTCTGATTTTTGTCTGCTTCTTCCTGCAGCTTAAGTAATTAACGCTGGCTTCTGGTTTTTGCAGCCTGCCTCCTGCATTTCAGTCCACCTCTCTGAGCTGCACCCGTGTGTGCGTCTGTGTCTGTGCTGGTGCGTCGTGCTGTTTAATCTTCTGCCATTCTGTCATTCTTGCAGACACAGCGTATGTGAGGGTTTTCATCAGCGACGTCAACGACAACAAGCCGGTCTTTGCTCAGCGGCTGTATGAAGTCGGTGTCGACGAGAATGCAGATGTGGGCCTGGCTGTTGTCACCGTTAGCGCTAATGACGAGGATGAAGGTATGCTTGATGAGGCGGCAGAGCGAGGAGGTCCCGCCGAGATTTCACTGATGCCACCTCCTAGAAATAAAGGTTAAAGAAGCTAGCCGACCAGAACCAATACAAAAAGTTTTTGTGAGACACTCTGAAACTTTACAGACATTTCCAGATTGCACTTTCTTTATCTTTCACCACACTCTCTTTCTGGGAATAACAAAAGCAGTTCAGCAGGCCTATCTGTCAGTTTCTCAGTGACTTGTGTGCCAAGTAGGCGCAGTTTTGCAATATGCTCCGTGTTTGGAGCAGCAGGCATAAAGTGACCCTGTGTCTTTCCCAGTCTGGCCTGAGCTTTGCAGAAATCACGCTGCCGGAATCAAGCTGTGTGCTAGATTTAGTAGTCATTTGAGTGCTCAGTAATGCACTGGAGCACATATGTTCCAAAAAGAGTGACACGCTCCCACACAGTAGGTGGGCGGGATTTAAGCAATAAAGCAGTTGCTCATCCTCCGTACAGCGGTAGCCTAAGATCCCTTTATCAGGCATGTTTAGGTCCGTTAATCAAGTATTTATGGAGAGCGGGGGTGCAGCTTAGGCTGGGCTGCGGCACTAATGATGAATAGCTGCGGAACAGCACCGACCCCCAACGCTAAAGTTACAATGCCGTTGCACTTGCGCCGACGAGGCTACGCTCAATCTGTCTTGTTTAAAAAGTGTGCGCGGGGCTGACTGCTGTAAGCCTGCCAGAGCCCTGTGGGAGACGGGGAGCACTTAGTCAGTTAGGGTGGTGTTAATAGTACAGATTAGTGTATTTACATGGGATTGCAGCTACTTCCACCCAACAGGATGATTGAAAGCGAAGACTGTACATTCCAGGAGATTATCTGATCTATTCCGATGTTAAACCATTGGATTGGACGGTCTCCATGGAGACACAGCAGATGAGTTCACATATTGACTTCCTCTTTACTAAACTACCCCCCCTCCACCACCACCACCACCCTCTCCCCAGCCTCAGACTCACTCCCTAGAGGGCACCATCAGAGTGTGTTGTGCTGCTTTTCACTCTCATGCTCCCCCCGTTTTTAATTAGTATCTGATTAAAGCTGAGGAGACGCGGTACAAAGTTTCCATTTAATTAAGTAATCAAAACAAGAAAGGGATACATGAAAACCTACTAATGGTCAGGTCTTGGAGGAAATGAGGTGTAATACCCTTGTGGTTACCCCCTTCTGCTGCTGCAGGACTACAACAGTATTAGGGCTAGAAAAGGGGGACAACGCGGAGCAGAGATTACAGGAATAATGAGGTCAACAGAAACCTGCTGTGGACTCTGCTGCCTTTCTCTGCTACACATCCCCAATAATGCTGGTTTTTTTTCTTCCTTTGTAATTGCTGCCACAGGGGCCAATGCCAAGCTGCGCTACCAGATAACATCTGGCAACAAAGGTGGCGTTTTTGACATCGAGCCAGAGGTGGGGACGATCTTTATTGCACAGCCACTGGACTACGAGCAGCAAAAGAGGTACAAGCTCCTGGTCCTCGCCTCCGATGGAAAGTGGGAAGATTACGCTGCAGTGGTTGTCACAGTGGTTAACAAGAACGATGAGGCGCCCGTGTTCTCCATGAACGAATACTACGGGTCTGTCACAGAGGAGCTCGATGGATCACCTGTGTTTGTGCTACAGGTGAGAGGCTTAGTGGGTTTTTTAGTAATTACTATAATCTAACTATCTCTAATTATCTTTTTTTTTTTCTTAAATCAGCCCCTTCTCAACATTTCTTCTCAGTGGAGCTGTATGTAGCTGCAAAGTGATGTTTATAACTAGTTGTCGTGTTATTTCAGTTTATCTTCTGCCAGTGTTTTACCTTCGCGTGACACATTATTGAACTTTCATTGCACTGGGTTGCAGAGACCGTGGTGATAGATGTGGTGATGGGGACGGAGCGGTGAGGCTGTCATACTCACTCTGAGGCCAGATGCAAGAAACATGCCCGACCAAAGCTCATTTCGTTAATTTAGGTGGTCGGGAAAAAGTGCAAACACTTAAATGGGCTGTCGAAAAAATCCAGCAGCAAAGAAGGCTTGGTTGACGGCTGAGGACAGATAAGAGGAAGCTGTAATTTGAGTGTGACTGGATGACTGAATATCTGTTTTCCTAAGAAGTTATCATCATCTGTGCAGGTGACGGCTACTGACCCGGACAAAGATGCGGACCAGGGCGCCATACGGTATTCCATCCATGGCCAGGGGGCAGAGTCGCACTTCATGATAAACGACATCACCGGGGAGATGTATGCCCAGCGCACCATGGACCGAGAAGACCGAGCAGTCTGGCGTTTTGTTGTCATGGCGACAGACGAGGAGGGCGAGGGACTTACCGGCTTTACGGATGTTATTATCAACGTGTGGGACATCAATGACAACGCCCCCACCTTCTCGTGCGCGCCTGACAACTGCCACAGCAGCATTGCAGAGAACTCTCCTCCTGGAACATTTGTGGTGGAGATGACGGCGGTTGACCTCGACGACGCCGCCGTGGGGCAAAACGCAATCCTCACCTACCGGATTACTGAAAACACACACAATGCAGACAGCGCAGATCTGTTCACCATCGATTCCAGCACCGGCACCATATCTGTGTCTGCAGAGGGTCTGGACCGAGAGCTCGCCGACAGCCACCACCTGATCGTGGAGGCCCGCGATGGGGGGGGGATGACGGGCACGGCGACGGTTACCGTGGTGGTAACAGACATCAACGACCACGTGCCAAAGTTTAGAGAGGACTGGTGTGGCGCTCGTGTGCCCGAGAGCACAGACGAAGACGCCGCCATCCTGGAGCTGAGCGCTACGGACCCTGACGCCGGCACATATGGACACCTGACCTTCAGCGTGGTGGCGGGAGACCCGGAGCAGCGGTTCTACATGGTTAGCCACAGACTGGAGCAGACGGGCGCTCTGAGGCTGAAGAAGCAGCTGGACTTTGAGCAGCCAGGGGAGCAGCGGTTTAACCTCACCATCAAGGTGGAGGACTCTGACTTCTCCAGCCTCATCCACTGTCTGGTCCTGGTGGAGGATGAGAATGACAATGCCCCCGTGTTTACCCCGAGCTCCCACCTGCTCTCCCCTCTGCCCGAGGACATAAGTGTAGGAAGCAGCATCGTTCAGGTCGTGGCCACTGACACTGATTCAGGCCAGAACGGGGACATTTTGTACAGCATCCTGCCCCAGTCAGACCCATACGGACATTTCACAGTCAGCCGTGGCGGCGTGGTCACGGTGGCCAGGCCGCTGGATAGGGAGACAGTGGCGAGTTATGAGCTTGTCGTCATGGCGACAGACCGGGGTACCCCAGCGCTGACTGGCAGTGTCACGGTCCACTTGCCGTTGCTAGACATGAATGACAACGGGCCAGAGCTGGAGACAGCCTACACGCCGGTGCTGTGGGAGAACAGTCCAGCGCCTCAAGTGGTGTGGCTCAACAGCAGCTCCACGCTGCTCCACGTGGTGGACAGAGACTCCCCAGAGCACGGGCCTCCCTTCTCGCTCGCCTTGCCCTCCGTGTACTCGACCGACTTCCACCTGCAGGACCACGGGAACGGCTCGGCCACGCTCACCACCCTGAGGAGGTTCGACAGGGAGCGGCAGACCGAGTTCCGCCTGCCCGTGGTGATGACTGACAGCGGCGTTCCACCAATCACGGCCACGAGCACGCTCACCATCACCATCGGAGACCACAACGACAACGCGCATCAGGCGGGAGAGAAAGACGTCTACGTGCACAGCCGTAAGGGTGAGTGGCGGCTTCCCCCTGTCGCCTGGGCTCCACGGTGGTGCACTGCAGGCAGAGCTTGAGTGAAGAGGGGAAGCTGAGGCTAGAGCTGAAGGGAAAAGTTCTCACCGCCACACCTGCTCGTAGTGCTGAATTCATAACCGCTCTCTTGCTTTTACATTCAAACAGTGTTTTGTTATGGTAATATCGTTGTCAAATCCTTTCTCGAGCCCTCAGCACATTCTTCTCTCGCCAACCTTACGCCTTGAGCTTATATGAACGTTGCATTATGATAAGGATCCTGACTCCTCTGTTATTTGTTATGTTTTGTCGTGTTTCTCTACCCTCCAGGTGAGTTGGTTAGGTGCTTTGGCTTGTTAGTATTTTGATCGCACACTCAGCTAAATGGCAGTTTTGGTAATTGTGGAAACAGGAGCGCAGTGATTCATCCAGGCTGCCATTGTTTACCCAGCTGCAGTACTCTGGCACTGCAGGTCGATAATAACATAATCCATACTGAGATAGCCTCGCTTCCTTAAGCTCCACACTCTCTGAAGTGGAGCTCTGAGAGCCTATTCATTCCAGCAGTGGGACTCCACAGTTATGAGCATAATAAGTAGAACAGAACACAAGAATGCAAGATAAGGAGAAGAGGGGGACGAAAAGATAAGTGTTGGCATCAGCAGATTCTGTCCAGACTGAATCAATGTGTGTGTGTGTGTGTGTGTGTGTGTGTGTGTTTACCTTGAACAGGAAGGATGGCAAACGCAGCACTGGGGAAGGTGTATGCCCCAGATCCAGATGACTGGGACAACAAGACCTACACTCTGGAGACAAGCGCAGCCAAGTGAGAGCTCATTGTTAAATGCATTTAATTTTGTCTGAAAACATGCTGATCTCCACATGTGCGGCACAAGTACAAGTGCTAAAGCAATGCAGCATCAGGAGAACTGCCAACAGTGTAGAATCTGAGAAATAAAGAGGATGTGGACTCAGCGATGAGCCTGTGTTTCCCCCAGCAAGGCCTCCTCCAGTGATAGCACACGGCCTGGTACCGACCGGTGCTTCTCCTCATCTTAGATCTGTTTCCCTGGCCTCTCATATGAGCTGCACTTTCCAAAAGAGACTTTAATCATCCCCATCAGCAGTGATTGCCATTCTGGAAGACGAGTCAGATTCAGACAAACGAAGAAGTCTGGGGTCCACCTGTGTGATGTTGGTGATGAAACAGCCCATACGAGCACAATCTTGCTGCATCAGGGACCTTGTGCAGCTATTCAGTATTCATACCCTCAAGATCAGATTAGAAATACCAATTGCATATTTGTTTTATTCATATAACAAATTCTGACAGTTACTATGACAACTATCAAGCTCTTTTTGAAGCTTGGGAGCCAAAGAATTTTCCTCCTTTCTTCTTCTCCGTCTTGGCGGTTGTTGTTTTCCTCTTTCTGTGGAGGGCTTTTCAAATTAATTCACATTCACTTCCTGCTGGAGAAAGCCCAGGTAGCGCTGACCAGCTCTCTGCTTGTCTGTCTGCCATCTGTCGGATATTTCTGCTTTGAACAAGAGCTCAGAAACAAAAGAAGCCACTTGTCAGGTTTTTTTCCTCCATTTCTCTCATCTCACGTCGTCGGAGTCCTCTCCTCCTTAACAGCTCCTCTTGGTTTTTTTTCCAGATACTTCAGTCTGAACCAGAGCTCAGGAGTGCTGAGCGTCCGGCAGAACACTCCCGCAGGCAGCTACTGGTTGCGGGTCGGGGTCTCTGATGGGGTGTGGCCCGACGTGATCTCAGGAGTCAGAGTCCATGTGAGGGAGCTGGAGGAAAAGGCCATCCTGTCATCCGCCTCGCTGCGTTTAACCGGTAATGGCTGCAGAAGCCCCGGCTCGGCTGGTGGCGCTGGCGCTGGCGCTGGCTGGATTCTGAATCACTGGGTTCCTGCGGGTTGCTTCACCTGCTATGTAACTTCAGAAACTAGGAACTAAAAGTCCAGAACATGTTGAATGCAACAGCTTTTCAATTAGATTCCCACTCTCAGTCCTTCTTCACAAGAAAAGACAGAAGCTCCTTTGTTGTCGCTGATAAATCCTTGATGTTCAAAGCGACAGCATCTGCCACAGGCACAAATAAATTGGTACTTTTCATTGAATGATTATCAGGTTGTCAATCCAGTTAATGGTGAAATAATAGGCTGTCAGGAGAAATTTTTATACTGGCATTATTGAACATTTCTAAGCATTGTAAAGCAACTATTCATGCTGCCTCTTCCTCTTCTTCTACACGCTGAAGTTTATGTTGGAGTGTTCATTTTTCTGACAGTCACTCAGAGCCAATCTGAGCTATAAAGGTCAATTCCAAAGTGTCAGGTAAAGTCCTTGACATTTAAAAACCCATTCGGTGAACAGAGTCAAAGGCTATTACGGATGCCTCCGACTCCAAGTCGTTATCGTTTTTGGGAGATTAAAGATGACTGCTCGCAGTCCTCAGATATTACTGGACGGCGGCCCCACAAATGTGATTGATTTTGCGGTCATTAAAATATTTCGTACAAGGCAGTTTGTCAAGTCTCTAACTTTATGTCAGTGATGGAATAAACGATTTCTCCTTGACTGCGTCCCGACTCGTTCACCTTGTGCATGATTCAGCAGGAAATGGATCGATGGAGGGAGATGTTGGGCTAGCTCTGTGCTAATGCAATCAGGAACTTCGTAGACTTTGATCAACTCTGTAGTTGTCATTGACGAGTCAGTAGTTCTTATTTCATGAACCCCTGTTCTCTTTGTCTCCTGAAGGCATTACAGCGAGAGATTTTATCGACCCTCACGTCGAGGGGAAGAGTCGGCTGGAGGCGTTCTGGGACTTCCTGTCTGAAACCCTGTCCGTCAGACCGGGGAGCATCAACATTTTCAGCATCGCAGACGGAGAGGAGAAAACAGTGGACATCCATTTCTATGTGCTAACTGATAACGGCTACCTGCGCCCAGAGAAGCTCCACGCTGTCCTCATGGCACACAAAAGGAAGGTACATATACCATCATGTCGGCTCGATAGAGATCAGTGCTCATATATCAAGCGATACGCTCGGGAGCTGGAGGGTGTCGCGATAACGGGGCTTTTTATCTGCCCCTTTTATTCTCACACCAACTTTCTGTCTGTTTGCTGCCTGGTCCTGTCATGTCTCTTTGTCTCTGTTTCCGTTTTTCACGTTTTCATTGTCAGGATGCAAAAGCATTTATGCTGAAGGCCTCGCTTTCCTCTTCCCTCTTGCTTGTGAAGCTGTGTTGTCCCACCAAATGTATATCTCCCACTCCACCAACGCTGGGGATCTAAATCCCCCTTGTCTTCCGTGGCAATTATAGTAATTCCCGTTTTTATCTCTCTCATCTGCTCCCTTCTTTCTTCCTCCTCTTGGCAGCTTCAGTCACTCCTGCGTGCGAATGTGAGCCAGGTGGAGGTGGATGAATGTGTGCGCGCCGACTGCAAGACATCCGGCGGCTGCTACACACAGTTAAGCATCAGCGACTCGCCCACCTTGATCGACTCCGGTGCTTTATCCCTGGTCTCGGTGAAGGTGACGTCTTCGGCTGTGTGTGGCTGCGCTGCCAGAGAATCCACCCTCCGGCCCTGCTCCTCCTACACCAGCAACCCCTGCCTCAACGGGGGAACCTGCGTCGACACCCAGACTGGGCACAGGTGGGGAGAAATAGGAGTTTCCTGATGTGCTGCAGTCTTCTCTCTAGTCCTGTTAGGCTCACAGTAAGAGTGACACCTTGGAAGCTGAGTCCACAGTTACCAGCAGTGCCCCTTGTGAGGAAAAATAAATCTCCTTCACCTGCAGCCCGACCGGTCCTGAGCGGCTCCTCTGTGTTGAATATAGAGCAGCGTGTTGAAGCTGTTTGCCATGAAAGTGATGTGCATGTATCACTCTAAATAAATCAGAATAGAAGCTGAACTCCGGCTGCATCTTGCCAAAAATGTTAAAATTAGGTTTTTAGTTTTTAAAGCCTGACATTGAAATGTTGAAGTATTGTGTGCTAGATAGCAGTAAATAGTGAACAAGCCGAGCCAGCGCGGTGAAATATTAACCCTAAATATCGATAAATGCTCTTGAGTCGATGTTAAGGCCTTCGCTGTAAAGTGTGCAGGTTTCTGTGGGTGTCTCTCACACAGGAAACAGCATGCGTTTTATTTCATGCACACACTAATGCCCAGATTAAATAAATATAGGGCAAGGGGATTAGTCTAACTCTGCCCCCCTCTATGCGCACAACTTCTCAAAATCTCATTTAATGCCATTTACATGAACATGCAAGTTTGTCAAAGGCAAAGTCTTCAGAATGCACAGAACTAGTTTTTCTTTTTTTTTTTCTTCCTTTATCTTTCAAATAGTCTCTGCCGCAGTTGATGTGCACTCTGCTGAGAGAGGCCCTTGTTCTGTAAGAAGGATATCTCCCCGTATGTGCTATATGTGCCCCCATGTGAGCGCAGCCCAGTCATAAAGATTCCAGTTCTTGGTTCTATCCTTTGTCGAAGGAGCTTAGCAGGAAGCCCTCTGACAGCAGTTGATCAGATATTGTCAGTCAGAAGCGAGAAAAACATGCCATGTACTTCCTGATTTGGACTGGCACCGCTCTCCCGAGACACATGAAAGTGCGGTGAAAGAGTGAGGTGCTGTGCTCGGCGTGTGCATATGTATGCATAAGGCTACGCTCAGCCTAAGCCGTCCCTTTTTGCTGCGTATGGATCAGTATTCCTGACATGTGTTGCCCCTCTGCAGAATAAACAGCAATGGGAGAAACAGCCCCTAACAGCCTCAGTACACACAGCCTTCCTCAGACACTGCATGAAAATAGATGGCTTTGACATTATCAGCAAAGCCAGCTTGTCTCACATGCCTGCAGTGGTGAGGACAGGATGAGATCAGCCGCTCGCCTCCATCCTCGCCGCTGCACTGATTGAATGGGCTGCGTTTCATCGCTACATGCATCTCTTTCTTTATATTGTTTTTTGTGCGATTGTTAATATTTACTATTACAAATCTCACACAGACTCAAGAAAGCCGTAAAAGAAAAGAAAAGAAAAAGCCAAACATTTAATTTCCAGCTAATGCAAGAGCAGTGATCCTTAACACTCGAGCTCTAATCAAAGCAGATAAGTACGAGAAGAGGCAAGTGCACAGCTATCAGCCCGAGTGTGTAACACCTTAAAAACCAGAAGCTGGCGGGCGGGGATAAGTGAAAAAAAAAAGTCCAGGAAATTGGCGGTGGTACGACACATAGAAGAGTGAGAGAAATAGAATTAATTATCTGCTAACAAAGGAAACGTGATGTGTGGAGCAGCAGCAGCCTCCAGAGAGTTCAGCCCAGACAGCTCTGATAGAAGCCGAGCGCTGCTGCGTTCATCGCTAATTGATTTAATGCACAATTAAATATTCAGGACATTCTGGTTAATGCAAACAATTGATTGATAAAAACCGCTCTCCCAGCTGTATGTTGACAGCCGGCAGCGCTACACCTGCAAAGTCAAACCTGTGAATCAACACGGCCGTCACGTACGGCGCAGAACCGGCGCACATCCGCAGACTGGACGGTGTGAAGGTTCCTCTGAGCTCCAAACCTGAACCACACTGATTGTTTCTTTCCCCTTGTTGTGCCTTGATTTTCCTCACTTCTGCTCTTGTCTTTTTTTGCCCCCCTCCTCGGTGCTACAGGTGCCACTGCCCCCCACAGCTCGAGGGGCCAGACTGTCAGCAGACCAGACTTAGTTTCCTTGGCAACGGCTATGCCTGGTTTCCCCCCATAAGACCGTGCTTTGATAGCCATCTTTCACTGGAGTTTATGACGGAGGAAGACGACGGGCTGCTGCTGTACGCCGGCCCGCTGGCGACTCTCCTGCCGGGGGACAGCGAGGACTACATGGCCATAGGTAAGGAGGGCGTCTGGGTAATTAGATGTGTGCCCCGGGGGGCCTGCGGGGGCAGTTATTGCTCTGAAAACTTGGAACTTAATTTTGTGTGGTTAATTACTGGGTGGTAGCTAATCAGATATATGAGGCAAATGTAGTTGGTTAGTGTACCTGTGAGGGATGTGGAGGCTCACTGGACCGGGCCGGGCGGTACGGGCCTGATGTGCTGCAAACCGCTCTCACTGTTTAACGTGTGTGTAGGACTACGTCGGGAGGAATTCTCTCTTTCTTCCTTTTTTTTCTCCTTTGCTTCCCCCCTTGTTTCACAGCAGCCGCTCAGCTTTTGAGCAGTTTCACTCAAGGACACATCAGCCGGGTTTATTCATGCCCACATAAAGGCTCAATCCTGGATCCTGGAGGTGAAGGACGCTAGTAAATATTTGATCAAAGTGAACGACGGCCGGGCGCAGAGCTCGCTACGTATAGCCGTTCATGTTTACCGTATGTTTATAAATAGTGATACGGTGTCATAAAGATTTTGCTTCGGCTCAACCCGGCGTCCCTGAAGAACTTTGAAGGAGCCTCATTACTACAATGAGTCACGTCACTTGTTGGTGCAACGGGCAGCCGTGTCTTTTTAAATGACCGTGATTTTCTTGGTTATTGGAGCAGAAGAGAATTGGTAAAAGGAATTAAAGTGATGACGATGATGACGATGAAGATTTAAGTAATAAGGATGTGAGTGTAGAAACCAGCCTTCATGCTGTGTTTGCTGTCCTGGTATAAATACTGCATCAAACACATACAGTAAGTTCATATAGTTTTCAATGACCAACCTCTCAGCTCATCATTTTACACAACGGGTCGCTCCACCAGAATCACACAGAACTCCTTTCTAATTCCCTGCTGGTGGTATCCAGCCATGCAGATAGTCTCCTGTTCAGCTTTTCAGAGATCTGTCTCTCAGATTTCTGCCTCCACCTCAATCTGAAAAAGGTGAATTCAATTTCATTTGTCTGGCTCACACCATTTAGAAATGAGATTTGACAAAAAGTCTGCAGAGACATATTCAGGAAACAGTGCCATCATTACTGAATAGTCCTCACAGCTCACTGACAAGAGTAATTTGTTTGAACCGACCCTTTAATTGGCTTTTATTTTCCATTTAATACCCGTGTGTTAGCTGTTTTCTGTACCCTGACTCCCCGTGCCGTTGGGTTCCTGCTACAGCGGCTGGTGCTGCGCTGCCACCCTCTCTTCTTGTTCACACTGTGTTTGTTTTGAGGTGAGATACTTTCATGCGTCCCTCGGGTTGTTTCCTGTGCAAACAGGTTATTTGCATCTTTCCTTCTTTTTCCTTTGGCTTTTTTGTTTGCTCTGCATTTCATCAGTTCTCTCTTTTTTTTTATTGGTCCCACCTTTACCTTTTGTCTGCGCTTGCAAATTAAGATGTTTATTTTTATTCTACAGATCCGTCAGAGTTGTCTTTTTGTGCTACAGTTTTGCTCAGTAATGATCTTTAGCTCCGTGTGTGTTGATTCTGAACGCCGTCGTCCTCAGAGCTGATTGGTGGGACGCCCAGCCTGAAAATTAACCACGGCTCCGGGACCCTGGTCCTCCAGCTGACGAATAACGCCGGCGTAGCCGACAGACGCTGGCACCGCCTGGATGTGAGGAGCAACAGCAAAGTAAGAGAGCTGCATTCATTCCCACTGCGTGTCACTGCCTCGTAATCCCTGCGTACAGACAGGATGTCAGATTAGAATATATGCTGCAGTTTTTCAGAGAGTGCCAGACAGCAGGACGCTCACACATCCACCCATGCAGCAGCGATGACCGCTCTCTCTCTCTCTCTCTCTTCTCCAATTTACAGGAAGTGCGCTTCACTCTGGATCGATGCTCCAGCGCCATCGTCATGGAGACGGAAGGCGTGGACTCATGGGCGATGACAGAGGACCGCTCGTCCTGTGAAATCCGAGGGGTCACGCCCAACAGGGACAAGTACGATCCATAATTAAACCAAACAAGTGTGACTAACTGTGCACAAAAAAAAACAAACAGCATGAAAGGAAGTCAATACCAACAAAGCCCCCAGGAATAAATCATGGGATAAATAATAACTTATATTTATTATATTTTACAGTGTAATAACAAATGGGCCTTTAAGTAGACACATAAACGAGCGTGTATACGTTTGTTTTGAAGCAAGTAAGCAACAATTAAGGTTTACAGTTTCTCCAGAGAGCCTTCTGGGGCTTTATTTCTGTGGTTGCACTAATCCACAAAGGCTTTTTTGTTCTGTTTGCTGTTTTTAAACCAAAAACACTGCGTGGCCCGTAGGGACACTGTCTAAATGCCCCGTGCTCCCGCAGGGCTGAGCAGTCCTCTGTGGCGTTAGCGCTCATATCACCAGCAGCTTCCAGGATTTTAAAATGAAAATGACGAATGAACAGAATAATTTGTTAGCAGCCGTGTAGCTAAACACTGGTTGTTAATACTGTACATAATACATACTGTCAGCTACAGCGGGTCGGTGCTGCTCGGAAACTTTCCATAAGAAACCAAACAGCATCTTCAGTTCTGGTGTTCGAGCAGCATTTTAATGATAGATGCTTAAATGAGCGGACTCACTGGTGACATTTCTAATCCTCCTGTTTGATGCCGAATGTACAGAACATCAACCACAGTCATTACCTTGATTTTTTTTATTTTGGATTTGGGTTTTTAAAAGATTACAGGAAGCCTTGGGGACCGTAACATTTAAATCAAGACCTTTTAAAAGTTAATTCATGATTTAGTTTTTGGGGGTTTTCACCTTTATTCAATAGGACAGAGTAGAGAGACAGGAAACCAGGTAGAGAGACACCATCCACATGGTCTGAACTGCAGCCACCCGGCTACCGGGCCGCCCCGGCACCTTTTAAAAGTTAGCCAGGACGCTAACTAGCAATTATTTTTGGCAGTGATTATTTTGTCTGTTTATTTTCGATTAACCCTCTGAAGGTTGTGGGTGGGTTTGTGCTGCTGACACATCTGAACTCCCAGCGGGCTCATTTTTACTGCAGTGTTAAGTCCTGCTCAACCACCAGTGGTTTTGTGCAGGACAGCAAAGTCATGATGTCATAAAACGGATTCGTACAGTATTGTTCCAGTAGCCCACAGGTGTTAGCACTGCTGGGACAAACTGGCAACTAGATATTTAGATATCAGATCATCTACATTTACAGTTTGTTTCTATACATGTAAACACAGCCTGCAGTTCAGCCGAAGTCTGACTGTTTTCTCACGTGACTGCTGGTCACAGCTGAGCATCCTGAGAGGACGGCACATCACGCATCACACGTCACATGTCACACGTCAGACGTCAGACGTCACATGTCACATGTCACACGTCACACGTCACACGTCACACATCAGACTCCTGGAAGGACGATCCCATAATTTTTATCTGTTTCATTACTTTCTGGCCCTGACGTGTGCAAGTGTGACAAAAACAAATTACAAGTTCTTAGAATACAATAAACTGAATAGAAGCTTTTATTGTCAGTGTCTCAGTAAATCCATGCAGAGGAACAGAAAGACGTCTCTGTCACCTTGTGTTGGGGTCATACATTCAAAAAAGGATCAAAATACAGAATGAATGAAATTAAACTGGATTAAATATATCAGAATCAGCCTTTGTACACTGGTGGTAGTGCAGCATAGTGCAGCTTATTGGGGTGATGGTGGTGCAGTAGGGTACCAGTAGTGTGACTGGTTCAGTAGCTGAAGTCCGATGACAGATTGTGACGTCATGGACCGGTGGGTGCACGAGGCCGAGGCAGCGTCCGTGTGTCCTGGCCGTGTTCCAGTCCGGTTCAGCGTCCTGACAGTCTGGTGGATGGAGCTGGTCAACAGTCTGCTGGACCTTTCTCCTGAAGGCAGGAGACTGGAGAGGGAGCGTGAGGGGTGGGAGGTGACGATACTGATGGCTCGGTGTCGGGGTGTTAGAAATGCCTGTGAGGGAGGGCAGAGGGGCACCGATGTCCTTGCTGGCTGCGTTGCAGGTTTTTGCAGCCTCCGTACCGTGCAGCGATGCAGCCAGCGACGCTCTCAGTGGTGCCCCGGTGGAGGGAGCACATGATGGGGGTGGGACTCGTGCTCCCCTCAGTTTGCAGAGGAAGTAGAGGTGTGTTTGAAGCCTAACCGTAACCCTTCTTGGCTGGCGATGTGGTGTTGCTGGTCCCTCGGAGATGTGCAGCCCCAGGAACGTGGTGCTGCTCACCCTGATGGTCAGTGGGGGGGCGCTGTGAGTGTCCTCTCCTGACAACAATGTCTTTGGTTTTCTCCACGCAGAGGGATATTGTTGTCTTCACACCACTGGACCAGCCAGCTTGTCTCATTCCTGTAGTTAGCGTCATCACTGTTATGAGGCCCAAACGCCGTCCGCTAACCTGATGCTGTGATTGGCTCCTGAGGCCCAACGCAGTGTCTCTAGATTACTTCAATATAAGAAGCCGGAGCCAGAGGAGCCGTCTTCAGTGTCCTATATTCCCTTAAACAACGTTTTACGAACTGCAAACAGCTCGTGTTTACTCAGACGCTCGTATCTGGAGAATCTGCTGTATTATTTTACAGTATATTCAAAATGCATCATGATTCATGTTCAGTAAATAGCATCAGAGACGGTGTTTATGCACGAGCTGTATTATTTGTTGAAATGAAATCAGATAGGGATTCAGACTCACCATGTTCAATTTCTCAATGCAGCAGGTTTTCCTCTCTGGAGGGAAGAAGCCGTTGATGAAACCCTCCGATATAATCCTGAGAACTCCAGCTAATCTTTGACTATGTTTCTGTTCGGAGCTGCTTTTCCTCCATCACAGCTGTGTTTGCCGCCGTGGCCTTGGCCTGCCACTGGGCTCATTATTACGCCGTGCAATTAAGCCACGAGTTTATGGAGTTAACAACGCACATCAGAGCTTTACCACTGCTATTACCTGTAATAACTTGTACATTTTAAGACCCTTTTTACGGCGTGACTTCACTTAGCGATTGGGAGGTACAAATAGTTATGCCATTAGAGAGAATTCCCTCGTTAACGTGCTGAAATTATCCCTTCCTGCATCGGGTTTTGAAAACAGCAGCGGTGGTGCCGGCACGAATCATTTTCTGTTTTGATTGCTTTGGACGAATGGAATTTACCCGTCACACATATATTCAAAATAAGGGAAAAGAACAATAATAAGATGTCACATTTGTTGTCAGGGAGCAGTAAAAATAATGACAGTCTCAGCAAGAATCGATGGGAGCGATGAATTTTAACCTTGACAGCTCGTGTCTATGTGTTCCATTCCTCCCTCTGCCGCCTTTCTGTTTTCTCTATATTGAGAGTTGTGTTTTGAATTATAACCTTGGGAACTTTCATGTTTTCTTTTTTTTTCGTTGTTTCATGCTCCTCCGCTCGCATTCCTCACTTGTTGTTCTTCATTCCCAGGTACCTGAATGGAAGTTATGTGCTGCAGCTCGGCGGGGTCAACGAGAACATATCGTATGAATACCCTCAGCTGCAGCACAAACACTACAGCGGCTGCATGAGGAACCTGCTCGTGGACAGCAAGGTAAATAATGGGGCGAGCCGGCTTTACCGCGCACACGTTATCATGAGGCCTTTTTATGTAGCCGGCCGGGCGGTGGGATGAATAGGCGGCTATACTGTCGCCCTCTATTTTTATTTTTCTTTCACCTGTTTGGATGACAGGCCGCAGAGGTGATGGAGGACTCGGCTTCAATAAGAATGTAAATGTGACCTCAAGGCTGCGCTGGAAGAACCTGATGAATGCTGATGCTGCTCGCTCATCACTTTCCTTCCGCTCATATTCAGTCTGACTCCGTATCAACAAAAACAAAAGCTTAAGATTCAGAATGGTCTGGATGGCTTTTACATTATTAAGTGTGAACTTATTGAATTATTCCCACTGATGCGTTCATGCAGATCTCCACGTGGTTTGTTTCTGGAGCTGTTTATCCACTTT